ATATAATATCAGAGTTTGGACCTCAGCGATGGAAATCCTTACACATCTGACAAATGGGTAATTAGTAATTAGGGCTTGAACCTCTTCATCCTCGACCCCAGAGAAGAGTTTTTGCTCAGGTATGTGATGATTTGGACTCACAGGGATGATATCCAGATGTGTCCAGAGTGTCAACTCCCAGAGTGGAAAAGGGCACCACACTGCTCACGTGTGGGTACACTATGTCTTTTACACACACACACACACACACACACACACACACACACACATAAAATAATCATCTTCTCTCAAATGGAGCGTAGATGCCAAGACAAGCTGGCTAATGAAGGATGGAAATAGACCTGCCAGGGCTTCTTCTCCCAATCATATGAAATTTGACTTCTAGAAAATAAACTTGCATCTCTCCGCAACCTGAAATCCGAGCCACTTTGATTAACTTTTAATATATACTGTTATTTCTTCAGCACTTCTGATATCAACCTTGATGGAATTTGTCATCAAAAGCTGCTCCACGGACTTTGCCTGCACAAATCTGTTATGAGCAACAGTGAAGACGAGGTCTGGCATAATAATGGACTTACAAACACAAGAGCAGGTTTGACACTGAGACAGAAATGAATGAAGTAAACCTGAATCAGAAAGTGAGATACAGAGATACAGAGAGAGTTTTTTTTAAAACCAAGGACTGAATGGACCCCAAAAAATAAACCTGTACAATTGAATGTCCCACATTAATTCACAACAAGGTGCTACCTAGCTTGTTGCAACAAGATTTATAAATGTTGAAAAATTATAGGAACACAACCGCAGAACACATTACGAAAATAAAAGTCTTGCATTCTGCCCGGGACGATTCTTTTAAAGGTGTTGTTTCTTTAAAGGTTTTGTAACCTAATATATTTATTTGAAATGTAATACTTTTTCAACTTAAGTTGAAACAAATATTGGAATTGCAACAAATTACCGTTTAAAATAAAGGCATGGAAATTTCTCTTTTTTGTATCGAAACAAATATTGAACAGTGACACTAATGTATCAAACCTAACTGAACTGAACCGTGTATTTTGTGTATCGTTTCACCCAAAGTCATTATACAGTCATACTCTCCCTGACCCTGACAGGTCAGCACACACTATTTCATCACTATCTATATGCATCTGTTGTCTGTCCCCTTGTCTGTCCCCTGTCCTCAGCACATGTCCAAACCTTCTCAAACACACTTCAACTTTTTTTTCTTTTTTTCTCCATGACTGACCTGCTCATTTCTAATCCTGTCCAATTCTCATATTTTTAAGCCTTTTTGAGCTGATTTGGACCTGAGGTAGTAGCAGCACACTGACAATGAATATGGGAAACCTGAACAGTGGATGTTTAGATTAGTAGGTTAATAGAAGTAGATAGATAGTGTTAGTAGATTAGTAGGTAATTATTGTTGTTAATCTCAATTATTATTTATTATTATTATTTGTTATATATATAAAAAAATATATATAAATATATATATTGGTATGTACACTAAGCCACCACGTTATCTCTATGGTATTTTATACGTATATTTAGGCCAAACTAGTATAAATATAAGGACTTTATGTGAACAGGTATATAATAATTAAATATATGAACATTCTAAATAGTTGCATAATTAAATAATTAAATTAGACAAATAGTTAGCTATATAGGCAGTTCAAGCAGATATATTAATGTATGGGGTGTTGTCCAGATGCATATGACCATTATAACTAGGAGCTGCTATACATTTAAAATATTATATAGGATAGATATTAGTAATACATATGCATATATATACATACACATACATACGCTCACATCCACATATATGCATTATATATATACATATACACATGCATACACACCTACACACACATATACATCTAAATATGCATACACATATTCAGACATAAACATACTTCATAAAATAAATCAATGCTATTGCAGATATGAACAGGTCCCAAAGGGTATCTTTTCATCACCATAATTACTGTTCAAACCTTTACTAGGATCCTTTCCTTTAACTTCAGAATGACAGGGCCAGACCAACACCGTATACACAATGTACAGTTCAACATAATCTGTTTAGACATGAACCAATATTAGTATTGCTAATATCCTACGTTATATATATACAAATACAGGCACTCCTTTTTCAGAGTACACACACAAGTCCATTCTGTGCTGTTACTTAGCCATTACTTTATGTTTATGTCATCTTAATGCCATTTACATTACCAGTACAGATCTCTCAAAGACAGAACATGTCCAGCTGAAAATATTATACCGCTGGTGACCAAATCAATAGTGTACTGTACATCCATCAAATGTGCTTTAATGAAGTACAGTGTTTTACAGAAACACTCTGAAAGCTGCCTCTGGTCATATGTTTGAGTATTTTGTAGATTTCCCAGTAAAACAGTGTGTTTTTACTGTGTCTCTTCGTCTCCTCTCCTGAGGTTTTGTCAATGTCTGTCGTTGCCCATTGATCCAGAAGTCGTTCTGGGTTTCATCAGATAGGCATTTGTTTGTTTTTGGTTTTGTTCCAGCTTCAAAAGTGGGTAGAAAAGGTGAACAGCAAAACTTCAAAATCAATCCTGCCTTTTAATGGAAAGCTGTGTAGAAATGAATGGATGTATGTGAGGCGGCCAGATCTAAGGGTTTAGGAATTGATGCATTGGCCCTATTTATGTATAAATTATTTTTAAATCCTGTGCAAAGTCCAGCAAATTGTATCAAGGATAAAAGCAAACATTAGAGTTGTGTGTCTTCGGAGGTTTTCTTTGTCTTCTTCTTCTTTTGTTCTGCAGCAACGTGAGATTGATAAGGTTGTGGTAAACTATACAGAAATTGTAAAGATCTAAGATTATTTTGAGTTAAAAGTTGAGACTGATAGACAATAGACAGTGTACAGTTAAGTGACAGGTTCACAAAAGGAGAGATAAGGAAAGGTCATACACTGCACAGCCAAATGAGGCCAAATTGACGCAAACAATCTGGAAGTTAGTGGTGAAAAAAGGTCAAGTTTGTGGACGTGAGTTAATAAAAAAAGGATTAAAATTATTTTAAAAGAATAATAATTATTTGAAAATGTGACCCCATTTAAATTCCATGTTACAACATGTGGGGTTGTGAGCCCAGGGTTGGAAAACACTGCCTTAACTGATGGAGAGATTGATACCTTGAGTGTGTTATATGATTTCTGGGCCTTGTTATTTCTATTTTTGTTTAATTTCATCATTATAATTTTTTTTTTTTTGCATATATATATAAGGCACAAGTTTTTATTGTTTTGGTTGAAAGAGCTCCAGTGTGTTTTTGAATGTGTTTCTCCATTTATTAACTTTCTAACACATTGCATGGTATATTAATGCAGCCACAAGATGACTGAAACAGACTTTATATAAATGTAAGTAAAAAGTCAGTAAGCATCTGAAGAGAATAAATGACACCTCTGGTTTTACAGGAAGTCCAAGTAAGTTCTTACTGGTACCCGTCACGTGTACAGTAAAACTGACTTATCTAACACCAGAAGAGTGTGAGTGTGTTTTAGTTCTCAGGAGACCACACAAACACAAGAACAGAGGAGGTGTGTTTACCTTTCTCTAGAATGTTGTACTTGAACACAGAGAAAATAATGTTCTACAGCCTTGTAATTTATCAACGAAGCACTAACAGCACTGCTGCGCAAATGCTGTAATGGCACGATTATTTTAGAAAAATTGTCGTCACATGTTTTTAAAAGCATGATTCCGAGACATTATTCTTTACGCGATGTTCTACACTCACTGCGAACAAATAATTATACATACACACAAACACACACACTTGCATACACTTGCACACATGTTGACAGGAAATTAGATATGAAAGCATGGCATGAATCAACAGGCTGTGTGTCTTTAATGGTTCTGTAATGTATAACGTATGTAAACCACATACATCAGGAATGTAAGACACCTGTACATGGTTAAATAATCGCCTGTAAAAACAATTTACATGAAACTGAAAAATAAATGTCCATAGAAGGCTTAGAAAACGGATAAATGTTTAAACCGCTGAACATCAATATTGGTTGTGAAAGGTACAATAGAAATACAGTTTTTAAATATTTCAGTGCATTTAATTTATGAGAAAACACTGTCCTCTACTGGACAAAATGTATCACTGCAAATACCTTAAGCCCAAGTTCCTCATTTTAACAAAGGATCATTATTTCTGCGATTATGTGAGCAGAAAAATAAATTATATACTATAGTAATTTAATATGCTATAAAACTATAAAAATTGCGCAATTTTATTGAAATTGATGTCATTGCGAATATACTCTAGATCAGGGGTCACCAACCTTTTTTAAACTGAGAGCTACAATACTTCAAGGGCACTAAGTAATACGAAGAGCTAGTTGTTTAATACAGACCTCCCGAACAATGTTATAATAATCAGTTCTGGGACATACAATAGCAGGCACTCTTCTTACCATCGTCATTGCACCCATTTGAATCACAGTGATCTTGATATAGACTTACTGTTATTATTATTATTGGATAACATTGTCTAATTATAGTTTTAATTTTTTTTTTACTGCACTATAGTTTTTCCAACCTGTTTTTTTTAAGGATCACTACGAATTTACATTGAATTTCTTTATCACGGTGAATTACGCTGCATAAATAGATTACACCCCAAACCTTACTCCCTACTCCCTACAGAATATTCTAAGAACTCTCTTTTGTACAATTATTGCATTTACAAAGTCAAAGTATTTATTTGGGGTAATATGTACATTCAATCATTAACCTACTCCATATGGAACTGTAATAATTTAATTTATTGTGTTTTATAACTATATTAATAGTTATAAAGCTACGTTTACGTCATGTAATATTTAACGTATTGATAGTCTTATTTCCATTACAGTACTTTTCCACATATCGGTCTTCAGATGTCCTCTTTTCAGTCCGCGGGCCCTATGTTGGTTGGATAGACCACCCGGAAGTGGGTGGTGAAGTCACCGTCAGCAGAGCAGTCACACCACCACCACCATCACTGTCTACACACTGTCTGGTCCTAATGCAGCTGCTGGGATGAAGCTCCTCACCGGGGAACCACTGAGATCATCGCCTGTCTGAGAAGAGAATCAGCCTCAGCGGACCATAACCAGTATCTTCAAAAAGCTCAGAGAAGGACTTTCAGAGGAAGATAGAGGGAAACAGAGATTTTCCGCCACCATGATGGAAGAAATGGATAGGTTTCAGGTGCCCAGCGCGGTGCAGGAGGAGGCAGAGATGCAAGCGGAGATGCAGCCGCTGGTGAGTCAGGGCTTTCAGGCGGTCATCTGGTTAAATTCCGATGTCCTGGTGTCTGCAAGTTGTGTATTGTCCTGTATTGTTGTATGTGTGTGTCAGTAGGCCAGACATGTTGTTTATTCTCCGGGACCCTGTAACCAATCCATCAGCTACTCTACCATGCTTTATGTCAGCTGACTTGATTGGAGAAACACCACGCGATTTTCTTTTGTCTTCGATCACCAGGCAGTGAAAGGATTGAAATCATAGAATTTAATTCATGATATGATAATTTACAGTAGCAGCGGTTTGGACCCTTTCCTCTGCTGTGTAATTCTAGTAATGTCCGGTGTGCGCGCTACGCAGTGAGCAGCAGCATCCGTCATGTCTGACGCCGATCCACATCCTCAGCATCCACATCCACGTTGCAGGTTGTGGTCTCATCGAGATTAGAAACACTGCGGATTTTGTTTTACGAGTAAATACTTCCCCCAAAAGTCTAATGTTCACATACATGAATTAAAGGAGAATTGACTTATAGATGACAGGGCCCTGGTCAGTACTGTCTGTAGAACAGACTCTGCTGCCTACAGACAGCACTGTTTGGCCCTTTGTCCACAGGCATCTTTACATCACCATTCATCTTACACTATTTATCCTGGGGGGACAAAGGTCATGTATGTGTGTGTTAAAGGAGAAAAGGCCAACAACAGTGTTTGGCTTACTGTTTACAAACATACAGTTCGCTGCAGTGGGGGCTATGACTGCATTTTGTATGGTCTGGTTCATGATAGTAGAGGCTTGGTATAATCATATCATACATGTCCTTTTCCCCATTCAAAACATTTACCACCCGAGGTTAAGCAAATACAGCTGAAACACTGGCTTGTAGCAGACATTTGGCTATGGTAACGATAAGGCTAGCTTGTTAAATACTGCACAGAGTTCCGTTCAGCTGAAAACCCCTGCCACAGCATGCCAACACACTGAAGTTAAGCCCCTCTTTGACAACCTCACATTATGATAAAGTTGTCTTCTGTGCTCTCTCAGCCTGGGGTAAGCTAAGCTAACGCCTAACTTTGGTCTAACTTTGCTAGGTTTTAAATGCACATTGTGTAAAATATTGAGGACTTCTAGCTGTAATTGTTGGCTAGAGCTTTTGAATAACTTTAGCATGTAGGACAACATATAGTTATCTGTTATTAAAAAAGAGGCATAGTTTTTGTTTGACTGTTTGCTGGGTAATGTTCACAACACAGCTGTCTTGTAGAGAACATCTGATCCTACTAACACAAACCAATTTAAATGTTCATGTGAGTGTTTACTTGTGAAAATGTCAGTAATTTAATATTGAAATTTTAGACTAGAATTATTGGATGTTAAATAATTTTGCTATTAAAATGATTGGAAAACTGCCAACCACTGTGGTGGATGTAGACTGTCCTGTACTGTACTTCCTGTGTCTATTTATAGATAGCAAAATAAAATTCAATGTGTTTTAATGAAAATACACATTGATGAGTTACGCCACTCACAAACAAAACGTATACAACCATCAACATTTTCTCTCTGACAGAGGTAATAAATAAAACTGGGAAATAACTCAGAGAGTGCTGAACCTCTGCCATGGCTGTTCAGTTTCCCAACAGTGTCATGACACACCCTGTCTCCCAAGGTTAACGGCCTCTCATTCATCTTCAACCGCTTTTACCAGCTAGAGCTTTCAAGTAGGAGCTGGAGCCAATCCCAGCTGACACTGGGTGAAAGGTGTGATAAATCCTGAACAGGTCACCAGTCCATGACACAGGCTTGTTCAATCAAGAAAATAGTTCCAGTCCGGAACATTTTATACAGAGTAAGAAGATTTTTTTTTTACACACCCTTTTCTAAATATGCCAGCTTTGTGGTACACATTTTAATTATTTCATCCTTAAGTTCCCCAAAATACAAAGGTCAAAATATTATCACATTCATCTTCATTTTTTACGAGATTCTTTATGGCAGACGCAGTGTAGCATCTCCACAGCATTATAATCCCATCTTCTTGTTTCATTGTCAAGAAGGAGCTCTATGGGGTTTAAGTCCAAACGTTGTCAGTGTTTCCACTGTGAATGCTTATTTATATTTTTCTCATCTGTCTATCTATATTTATATTGAACTCCAGTCTTAGTGCAGTTGTTGATTTTTCTTTTGCTAAACTTTTAGGTATCAGATGTGCTGGTTATTCATCTAGGTGGCACTTTTGGCCCAGAGGCAATGTCTCTGTCATTGGCGTGGAACCCTAGGGTTCACCTCCTGGGCAAGATCGAATCACGGTTAGGGCGGTTGGCGCCATCTGGTGGACTCACAATCCGCAGGAGGATTCAGGGGGGCTGGTGCGGTGCAGTTTGATTTGGGCGGCGGTCATGGAGACTGCTGCCTCCATAACGGATAGGTGGATGAAAATGGGTGGATGGATCAATGGATAGTTATTTATTTAGACGTTTGCTTCCTTTTTCTCCCCTGCCACTTTTCCTTGACTCCATATTTAACTTATTAAAAATATTTCTCACTATTGCCTCCTAAAAAAAGAATCATTTCAGTCTTTGCTCTTCTCCTGTTTGGTAAGCTCCATTTCTACTAAACCAGATCTGTAGATGCATCAACCAGAGTGCAGTTTATGGGAATGGACACACATGGTAGACTGTTCTCTGCAGCTCTTACTTACACTCTTATTTTCTTACTGCAGACAAAGTAAAGATTGCTATAAATTAAATTTGATCACAGCTTAAAATGTATTAAAAACCACACCTTCCGTTGTGTTGCGGAGAAATGAAGGCCTTACAACAACACCTTACATCCTTTTAGGGATTTATTCTCTGTTTATTCACATTGTCTGGACATAACACTGTTGTCAATTCTAAACATACATTAATTCATAATTTCCATTCACTATTCTGTCTGTCTGTTTCCTTTCTTATCCCCAGGACCCAGCCTCGTCCACAGCCTCAGAGGGAGACTCAGACACCAGAGAGGGAGAACCTGTCACTATCAACTACAAACCTTCACCCCTGCAGATGAAAATAGGTGAGCGAAGGTTACACATTGAGTCAACGTGTCTGTTATTGACTGTCAATGTGGAACGTTGACAAGAAATCACTGTGACTTGCAGTTTAACCTTGTTTTCTACAGACTTGTCTGGAAAAACAAATACTAAACACGCTATTAAAAAATTAACCATGGTGTTGTTTTCTTTTTTTCTCCAGTGATTTATACACCCTGTATAATAGCCACAACTATTGTTGACATATAGAGGCTCGTGCTTGCACAAATCTGATTAGCTGATTAGCTTCACATAAGAGGCAATTTGCATTATCATAATTATGAAAGAAGCTGTGCATGTTCAAATAAAAACAAACACACTTTTATTTTTATTTTTGTTAAATTGTCTGTTACTAGTTCATGTCTTGATAGGAAACTGTGTGTCTGCACATTAGTGACCTCTGGTATATTGTGAAGACAAATGGATCGCCTGATGTCATTTCCTGAAGATTTTCAGTTTGAATTACTTAGGTTTCTTTTCCTGTAAATTATTCAGCTCAATTATGTCTACAGTTTAAATGGGCTGTATGCACTGTAGACAAACCGAAGCTCTTGTGCTGAACTGCTGTGCCCTTCTCCATGTTCAGAAAAACAGAGAGAACTAGCTCGGAAGGGCTCGTTGAAGAGCAACAACGCTGTGGGGAGTCCAGTAAACCAGCAGCCCAAGAAGAACAACGTCATGGCCAGAACACGGTAAGAAGTGAGCGCTGTGTCTGAAATTGACCAATAAGATTAACCTGGTTATTGGTCTGCTGCCAACACAGTGTAGCCAAGCCCTACCAGAGACACAGCATTGTTAAACCATCTATAAAATAATCTACCAAATATGTGTAACGTGTGTCATCAGCTGCCTCCACAAGAAGTTGGACAGACTGGGTGGTCTAGTGGTAAGATGATAGGGCTACTAATGGGAGGATTGAACGTTCAAATTCCTGACTGTTGTTTGTTGAGCAGGCACCAAATTCCCTCATTCTCCAGTGTGCTCCAGTGTGAGAGAGCCAACAGCTTCTCAGAAAAAGGCTCAAATGCAGAGGGAAAATGTTGTTGTTATTGTTGCTTATATGTTGTTACTTATTCTAATGGGCCAATAATGAAAGATCTAGTTTGTAGACATTCTTGTGACAAGTTGCAGCCAACAATACAGCCTGTGGATTGGCGCAAAGGCACTATTTTCTTTTACTTCTTCATTGCTGTCTTTATCTACTCACAGTCCTCTTCTGTCCTCTGTCCACAGGTTGGTAGTTCCAAATAAAGGCTATGCCTCTTTAGATCAGAGCCCCGATGAAAAGCCACTGGTGGCCCTGGACACAGACAGGTGATCATCTTCACACACTTCACACATTTCAGCCATCTAATAATAAGCTGTCTTCTTCAGACTCAGTCGCTAATATTTTGCCAACTTGTCTGTGTTTTTGACAGTGATGACGACTTTGACATGTCCAGATACTCATCTTCAGGTTACTCCTCTGCCGAAGTGAGTTTTCTGTGGCAAAGTAAACATTTTAACTTTTAAAGTACTGCTACTTTGGATAGACAGACATGGATGGACAGACATATATATATATATATATATATATATACATATATATATATATATACCCTATGTATGCACCCTTCCCTGTGAGGTTGAATTCATAATTTCCTTCCATCATTTCTTTTTTCTTCATCTTCATCAGCAAATCAATCAGGATCTGAACATCCAGCTGCTCAAAGACGGTTACCGCCTCGACGAGATCCCTGATGACGAGGACTTGGACCTGATTCCTCCCAAGTCGGTCAATCCAACCTGCATGTGCTGCCAGGCGACCTCCTCCACCACCTGTCAGATACAGTAACTATACCTGATGCCTAACATAATACTGCCCGCGGGTCCCCTCAATCCTCATCTGCTGTGATCTGACTTTGCTTCCAGTGTGGCGACAGTGAAGCATTAGTAGAATATTGTAATGAAAGTTAAGTGCTATGATGAAAACAATGACAAAGATATTTAATATTTAATCTATAGGAGCTTTGGATTTAAAAGACAAACTAGGAGAAGGCACCGGTGTGAAAATGTTGTATTATATAAATGTATTTAAAAAGTTAAATAAAAAAGTGTTGGTTTCCTCCTATGGTAGGACGTTCACTTTCTCTGAAAGACCTCCCGGTGAACACCATAAAACACTGATGAAGAAAACATAGTCAGTTGATGAGATGTAATGTGATTTCCTTAAAATTAAAAAACAACACATAATTCTTAATCAGAGCTGTTCTGCTTTTCTGAATTCCAGGTTGCTTTTTTATGTTGGTTTTATTTTTGTATTTTAATGCATTGTTATTTTTTAACATGTTGGATAAGCGTGATTGTATGTGTTGGAGAACTGTGCACTGCGGCCCCTTAATAGCAGATATCTAATACTGAATTCATTGTACCATACATGGTGGTTATGTAGCACAGCCCAGATTGTTGCACTCTTGTTGTAGTGGACCACCATCCAAACATCAGCCTGTTTCTTAGACTTTCTGGACAAAAGTTGTCCATACTTTAAAAAAGTTAAAGTAAAAGTACAGTATCTTCATGCTATGTCTGCTTTCCATTTGCTGCCCTGTTAATGCAGCAAAGCTGGATTCTCTCTGGTTTCCTCCTGCCATCACAGGGCTCTCGCCTACTGGTCTTTTTGCAGGTACCTCCATGTTCTCTCTAAGTCGAACATATTGTTCCTACAATGGCCTGGAAACTTGTTTAAATAATTATTTGTAATATCAGCATTAATAACTTAATAACATAAAAGAACATTATCTTAAACTATCTTGTGATTTTATCGATGCAAAATCAGCATTGAGTGTAAAAACACAGCTCACAGCAGACTGCAGAGGAACTGTTTAACCCTTGTGCGGTCCTTCGCATTTTTGTACACACCGTTTGTTCTTGCAATGATTTTCATCTTGTCCCAGAATATGAGTATTAATGAATATGAGGAAAAGTTGGCATAAGTCATACAGTACAGGAACATGCACACATCCTCATGCACGCACGCACGCACACACACACAGACTCAAAGACATTGGATCAAAGAAGGCCCTTACAAGGGTTAGAACAATGTCAAATCATAGTCAGTGGCCACTTTATTACACTTTATTTATGAAAAAATAAAACATAAAATAACTCAAGGGCAAAATTATTATTCAAATCTAGTCACAAGCCAAATGTGAGGGGTTTTGCGGGCCAAAAGTGGCCATGGGCAAAGAGTTAAAGACCAATGACTTAGAAGATGAAACCAAGGAGAAAAAAAGAGAAAAGAGAGAAAACTGTCCTGATTTCTTCTATAGACCTGCTCTGATGGTAGGGACAGAGTTAAGATTAAACAACACGGAGTCAATAAACCATCTGTCCTCGTATGGATGTGTGGCAGCTTTTGTCAATGTGGACCAAAATCTGTGAGTGACTGTTTTCTCTACTTCTTTTAATCAGTAGCTGAAGAAGTGCAACAAGAGCACTACACTTGAGTAAACTGACAAATTATTATAAATTGCACAAATTTGTGTCTCGATTTTGCTCCACGGTCAAATGTTTCATGTGACACACTTCTTTATTTTAAATTTGCACCTTTTTTTTAACATATTGTACGTTTCTCTAACCCACTGAAGCCTATCCTTCTTGTGGTGCAGTGACAGTGTCTTATCTAAAACCAATTGTGTGAAAAGGGGAACTGACATATCTCTGCACACAAACCTTTCATATATTAGGCTCACGCGATTCTCTTACACTTGAGGCCAAAGGGACCGATATGAGGCTTAACATAGGATTTTACAGTAGTCAAAGTTGTGTTACTACCACCTCCCCCTCCCCCGCTTTTCCTCAACCCTTCACTTTATCTTTCATATCAGCAACAGGAGCTGGTGATACGCCCTCCTGTGTGCTGTCTACAGATGTTTAGACACAATTATCAACTATGTTTCCCTTACACATGCATGCAGAAACACGTGTATGCTGTAGACAAAGAAAAATAGAATAGGATGGCCTTGTTTGTCAGGATGCAGTTGAATGAATGAGTTTGAGCACTAGGATATTATAACATTTGTTCCTAAATCCATTATTTGTAATGGGAGTATGCCTTAATTAAAGAAAAATAAAATGCTGTAGTTCATTTCAATCTTCAGTCAATTTGTTGTTTGTTTGACTTTTTTTTTTCAAAAAATAAATTGTATTCTAAAAACTTCCAGATTGAGATGGTTTGGATATGTGCAAAGGAGGGACAGTAGTAGAAGAATGTTAGAGATGGAGCTACCAGGTAGGAGACAAAGAGGAGATATATGGATGCAGTGAGGGAGGACATGCAGATGGTTGGAATCAGAGTAGAAGATGAAGATATAGAAATCAATGATTCGCTGTGGCAACCCCTGAAAAAAGGGACAAAGCCGAAAGAAAAATAAAAGAAAGAATTCTAAAAACTTCCATTAGAGCAGGGGTTTCCAACCCCCGGTCCGGGGACTGATGCCGGACTGTAGGTCTTTTGGTGCCGGGACACAGTTAAACAATGTACTTTCGTTTTACTAATTTACTTTATCCAATTTAATTAAAAAGAATCCAGTCATATCCCTTTACTTTTTCATTACAATCTGGCAATGTTTCAAAACAACAGGTCATACAGACTCTGATTCTTTTTCATTTTATTTTGAATATTTAATGATAAGATCCTTCAATGATGGCACGGTATTACCGGTCCGCAGTAAACGGCCAATACTGATTAACCGGTCCTTATTACAAAAAAGGTTGGGCACCACTGCATTAGAGTATTGAACAGTGTTCTTGTTATGTGTGGTGTATGAAAACTAATAAAAGCAGAGCAAATAGTGCAAAGTCTGGCTCTTCTGGTGATTGATTTGATTTCTTTTGGACAATACTGCATACATACACAAGAAGCCAAAAAACAAACAAAAAAACAACCATCAACAACAGAGACCACATTTAAAAAGGAAAATAACTTTAATGTTGAAACTTTTAGAGCAGTAATTACTACACAGCGTCAGTACGTATATTGCAATAAAATGGGTTGTGCAATGACAAGTCCCTGATTATAGTACAGTAGCATAAGTAAGAAGTACGAGCTTCAATCGGAAAGGCACAAACATCTTATCACAGTTGTTTTAATGCCACAGAAGAAAAAGAAAGGACAGCACGTTGAAAATGTACGTGGTTGGTGTTGTGTTTTTTAGAAAAGTCTGTTCACTCCCTTAAAAAATACAATAAATCCTAGAGTGTGTGGGTTGTTAGTTAATTAGAACTTTCATTTGACATGTAAAAAACAATTAAAATGAAGCCCTTAAATGACAATTTGTTTAATGTAAATGAATTCTGAACTGGTGCCTGCAGCAACGATTCTCAAACAAGGTGTCAAACAAGGATTTTGTTTTGCTGCATTCAATCACTTTGGACTTTAATATACTTGACCTTTAACCATTTAGAAAACTACTGTTGCTTAACTCAGTCCTCTGCTAATAGACTGGCCGGCCTGCAGTCCAGTTTTGTCTCCTTGAAAATATCTGGTTTGTCATTAAGGGGAGAATCTGGCAGAGGCAACCATGGACTGTGAGGCAGCATTTAAGCATTTTAAAACAGCAAGTTTAGGCAACAATTATTCTGACAATGCTGCTGCAGTTCAAATGTGGTAGGAAAACAGAAAGAAAATGTCATGAAGCCTGGTTACAGTGACTGCTGCAGGTATTTACTTATTTGTTGTTGTTTTTTTACCTGAAAATTACAGCTTTGTTAATGTGACAAATATAAAAGAAACAAAAAACAAACAAAAAGGCATCAGCCTCCTGTAGTGGACAAATAAGACCTTACATCCCATTAGTAATATTATAAAAGATTGGCACAAAAATGAAAAATTGCAGCACCAAACAAATACATAAAACATGCTACATAATGGAATTAATGGATTCACTGACTAATCATGACAGTGTGCCTTTAAATGCTAGGACAGAGAGTTAACAAAAAGGACTTTGTTATGAAAATGTTGTGCTTCCACGTAACCACCAGGAGGTGTGACATAGACTCGAATGACTATGGTTCACGTTCCCTGATAATGTGTGAATGCCCAGATACAGAGTAAACACATAGTTAAGTGTGAATGTGCAGCAACTGGCACTGTTGGTTCATATAAAAGACCCTCGGTGATATCCATATGTGCTGAATATCAACATGAATAATCTGACAATGTTCATTCATTTAAGTGTTCTCCTTTTACTCATGGCTTGAAAGTGTAGAAATTTCTCTCTTCTACGAAACCGATGAAAGGCACAGACGTTGTTTTAGTTCACAGTTAGCATGATTTGACTCAACATAACTCAGTGTGGTTTTAGCCCAGAAGAGACTTTACCCTGTAATGGTTTCCTGTCTGAAAAATTCAACACAGGTTTAGTTATAGGTTATGCTCTTGCATCAGACTCAAAACTTTTTTTTTGGTGCAGTTATTGGAAAACACACTGTCGACACCTACAAGCTCACAGTATACCTGAATTACTAAGTCCACATTAATCTATTCAATAGCCAAGTTCTATAATTCTCTATATAGTAGCTTTGTCTTATTACTCTCTAATATCACATACCAACTGCATACTGATTCATTTATTTACATGATAATACTGCTTTGCTGTTCATTTGCCCTTGGACTGGCTGGATAATCTTCTGTTAAATGTTAAATATCTGCTCATGTGTGCAATAACATTCATGTAAGGACATTTCCCAAATCTCTGCGACACTTTGGCCAAGTTTGAACGTGGTGTCAACATTGGACCTGAGAGATCAAAATGTATGCATCTGTTTATGCAAAGAGGTTGAGGATTTAAAAAAGAAAAAGAAAAATGGCATTCTCAAAATATTCTTGACCTGAAACATAATAGGATTCCCTACAAGACACTGCATAGCTCTAAGTCAGTCATTATGAAAAAGCAGTGTGGTGCCTATGTCAGCAACTACATACCTCTGTTTAAAAATTGTTATAATAATTGGGTTGTGTTAACATACCAAAGCATGGTATAACAATCTGGCCTAAATTCTCTCTTGTTTTTCCCAACTTAATGTTTCTCATTATAACCAGTCATGGTTTAAGCTTCAAGGCTGGTTCTATTAAAATAAAGCAGAGCTAATGCTGTAAAATTAACCTGATTACATTAGTGGTTTCAAGTAAGAATACATAAGCGCAGACAAGTCAGGTCGGAAGATGAGGTACCAACAAAACCCTCTCACTCCCATATACGTATGTACAGTGGCTCTCTGACTGCCATAAACAAATTAAAATGTTCCGGAATCTAGAGCGACCAAAACGAGAGTGCATCTAATGATAGTGTGAACACGACAGAGAAGATAATTGGCACTGTTGTCAGTCAGTCAGTACCAGTGTTAACACCAGTTCCTGTTGGGTTCTTAGGGAGTTTCTTGTTTTGTTTTTTCACATCTTAAGACGTGAATCAATTTAGTGTTTGTGTGATATGTACAACCGTTCCACTCTGTCAGTGGATCCTTCCAAAAAACACTTTTAACAACACATTAAATAATTATAAATTTCCAAACCCCCACATCGGACTGATTGACCCTTGAAGAACGTGTAATAAATGCCAGTCGCCTCAGGAACAACAATGAGAAGCTCTGGTGTGACAAAAGTAAGGTTCACAGTAAGGTTTCTTTTTGTCGTTACATGCACTGCAGACACGCCAAACCAATAGTGGTCTGGCTGGTTGGGACGTCTGATTGGGAGTGATTTCCCTGTACGTACACCCTCCCATGGGCTACATGTGTGGGTGTGATCCTGTTTGTATATGCCACAGTTCCTACAACCTGTACCTCGGTGTACTGTATGTACATGTACAATAGGGGGGGGTGTCTCTCCTCTCACACTCCCACAGGGCTTTGTCCTCCAGAGTCAGACGAGACAGAAACAGAGCAGTGGCGTCTCTTGGCTGCGCTGGAGCCCTGAAGCATGCTGGGATGGAAGCCTGCGTGTCTGCGGGCGTGTTTCGTCAGGTGGTCACTCCTCATGAAGCACTTGTCACACATTGGACAGTTAAAACGCTTCTCGCCTGTGTGTGTGCGGTAGTGACGTGTCAACTCGTCTGACCGGGAGAACTTCTTGCCACAGTCTGGCCAAGTACACTCGAAGGGGCGTTCACCTGAGGTGGAAAACACACACATTCTTACAATTAGCTCCAACTTGAACCACAGGGTGTTTTTATATGAAGACAATACTACTGTCAGCATGCTTTTTCAAATGTCATCCAACTTTCATTGGAATACAACTGTACATTTAAAAGTATCTGAGTACAAATAGCAGTGGACGAAAGGATGGAAAGACAGAGACAGATGAGTCACTAGAACTGGATAAACAGATTTTGTTAGGCAACTGGATGTGACATTTTCTCAAAGAAGACGTTTCACCTCTCATCCAAGAGTCTTCTTCAGTTTTAAACTGAAGAAGACTCTTGGATGAGAGGTGAAACACCTTTGAGAAAATGTCATGTCCAGTTGCCTAACAGAACTCTTTAACCTTGACCATGACCTGGATGACTGAGAATCTCCATAAACATAAACAGATTTTAAAAGTCATGTCAAGCACTCATGCTATTTTAACTTCTCTGATAAAACGTAAGGACAAGAGACGTTTTCCTCTATTTTATAATTATGTTAATATTTTATTAACTTTGTCAATTACATCTGTGACACCTGAACTATTTTTTAGAGTTCCTTCAGGCTTTTGTGAATGACACACATTTTTTAATTCTTTAAAATTGAAACAAACAACACGGTTCCAAGGACCTAAACGGAAGATATCAATTTTGAAATGGTGAGAATCGAAAAACGCCTCGTGGGGAAAAGCTGCAACAGGAAATGGCCGTAACTCCCCGCTTTTGCCTCCGCCTCCTCCTGTCCTGAGGCTCCTCCCTCTCCTGCTGCACGTGCTTCACTCCACCACGTGTTTCCCTCTTGTTTACAACCCGACAGAGGGGGAGGAGGCGAGGTGGTTGGGTGGAGGTGACGTATGAGAAAGCTGAGTGGTTAGGACAAACACAGGCAGGACAACAGTGTCGCAGTGACCTACATGTTTGCTTTAGTTATTTCTGTTCTAGTTGGGGTTTTTTGTTTGTTTGTTTTGTTTATAACATACTTGCCGTTGAGATTGACCCGTTTTGTTTTTTCATTCCTTTAATCTCTGGTTCTGTCGCGGTTTTTGCCGACGTTGGTCTCTGTATTGATGCAAAGTGGGAGCGTGTGTATTGAATATTGAATGTGAAACAGTGAGACACGTGAACGAACGGTGTGACTGACTGCAGCACAGGCTGATTCGTATCCCCGACACCGACAGGTGTGTGCCGAACGGAACGAAAAACCCGCTGATATCATCTTGTCCTCTATCGGCCTGACAGATTTATCGCAACTTAACCTTAACTCAACTACACCCGCCCGATAGTTGCATCACAAACGTTGGGTGTCGTGTCACACCGTGTTCCATTCTCTGCTCAGGACTGTGCGTGTCAGGAGACAGTTAATGTCACGCCTCCGCTCCCTCACTGCGCTCTGCTTCACTCCCCTTGCCCCCTCCTTCACCTCCTCCCGCTGCTTCAGCTCCTCCACAACTTCCCCAGCAGTGGGGCGACTTCACATGATCATCTTTTTTCTCATAACCTGTTATTCATTTACAGAAACACGTGGTGTGCTACTTTAATACACCTCTAGTTCCATTTACACACACCATAAAAAAAATGTGCCTTGAATTGTAAGGACATATCTGTTGTTTTTACAACGACAGAAATTCAGAAACGTAGGGTAACAATTTATTTTTAATACTATTGCTTGTATTTGACATTGTTCTGGATACTTGTTTGCATGTTTAGTGGACATTTTCATTGATGGGTTTGGAAAATTACATTAACAGAATAATTTGGACTTCTGGACTAAAGCTGCAGCCACTAAGTACAGCAGTTGTTCAACAACTGGAGGTTACTCGGTTGCAGGCTCAGTATAACACACTACTCCCAAGAGCTGGTCAGTCAAAGACCGTCTGTAGCCCCTGTTGGGGATGACAGTGGTCAGATTGTCATATCAACTGTAGAATATCTACATTTACAACAACATTGAGATCACTGTATTTGAAGTACCTACCAAGCAGATGCTGAGCATTCCCATTTGGTATTGGTTGGATGTTGCCCTTGTGTTTGCCCCCCATTCCCCAGATGGAAGCAGTGTCACAGGTTCAAATCTACATGTTGCACCTACATAGAACTGCCAGTAGGGATTGTAATATTAATTGTTAGACCCAAATACCTCGATCTTACAACCATCGGTGTGTCAGTTTGATTCCATTAGTTTACTTGTAGTGCCCCTGGTAATGCCAGTGGGCAGAGGCAAGGGTTTTGTTATGTACAACGCATCTAACAGGTAAATTATGTTTTATTAAACGATTAATTGATTCCCAGTATCACAGCACACTATTCGATAATGAAAGTCGGTTTTAGCTGTATATTCAACGTATGAAAAGGGCGTGCATACTTCATCAAACACAGAGGTCATTCAATGCGCGTGGAATAAATGGAGTATTTGACAGTAAACGAATGCAATCACGTGGGGAAAAGGTCAAAAATCCAGCCTGAAATGAGAAAATCAGAGCAGGACAACAGCAGGGTGTTGCCCTCGCGTGTGAAATCAGATCTATAAGGGTAAATATGGCACAAGTGACGCAGAGCGGTTTCACTGTCGTCATCGGAACCGAGCCTGTTGGTTTCGTGGGCGTGTCCCACCGTCGTCACCAGCACTGTGTATTGACCCACTCACTAAGTCTCACTCACCGGTATGGACCCTGAGGTGGGCTTTCAGATGGGATGATTTGCCGTACATCTTTCCGCAGCCGTTAAACGGACAGCAGTGTCTCTTCTCTGGGGACTCTTGCCGCCTCCTCGCAGCCGAAACCCTCGCCTTATTTCGGGACTGCTGTGTTGCTACTGATGCCCGGGAGCTCCCCCTCGGCTCCGCCTTCTCTAAGGCAACGGCAGCAGCGGCGCCGGTGGTGTCACCACAGCTGGTCAGACATTTACCGGTTCCTGCTTGGCTGATGGCAGGACTGCATTTGTTCAAGTCCAGTAGAATCATCGCCACCATCAGCAAAGTCCTGTTCTCTTGGTTCTCTTTCAGCGTGTCCTCTGTTCGGCCCTGGCCCGCAGGTCGAGTGGGGACACGGTCTGCAGAGACGTCCACCTCCGACATCACTGATCCGAGCAAAAAATAACAACACAAACACAAAGAAGCAAGAATAAAGATACACAACAGTGTGTGGTCACAAAACAGTCCTGCCTGAAAACATGCGGTTAACCGTCCACACGTGTCATCTTCAACGTGACTGTTCCGTAAAGACTGCGCTTCTCCTGCTCGGGTTCCAGGGCGAATAAAAAACAAAACAAAACACACACCCTCCTCAGAAAAAGACCTTGGTCTGAAATTCCTCTCCTATTTTCCTTTGTCTCTATCCTCATGTGGCGGGTCCCTGTAGCTCTGACTTCAGATTGTGCTGTTGTCTCTGCTTATATTTCGCTGTTGTCACACATGCGTCAACTTGTCCTCTTCTGCTGCAAACACAGCAGCAGCCGCCGCTTCTCTTTTCTCTCTTTTCCTCCCCCTCTCCCTCATTCTCTCTGACTTGAACTCCAAGAAACAATTTCGCGGAATCCCGCGGTGTCATCATAACACGGGTCTGTGATTGGTTGAAAGGAAACGTGACTCATTTTTAATGAGAATGAGTGACGGCATCATTGACCAATCAAAGACAAGAAGCACACAACACTGATGATGCATTCACTTTCGCCCTGTGACTGCGACATAAGGATAGTTTTTAGTCCAGGTACTAGGTATATAGTAGAATTTGATTTCAAGCAATAGAATAACGTATGATGGATAACATTACCTTCTTGATTAATGTTGTAGTTTTTTTATAATGGCTACACAGTTAGGCATTAATCAGGAAACAAATATCTTTTAAGAAACACCACGGCAATTACCTGTTCCTGCAATATGTGAACAACACCCAGTTAAACAGTACGAAAAACAGATGTGGACTCAAGTCACATGACCTCATAATATTTCAACATCTGACCAAAAAAGACATGCTAAATTAGGAATTTTCAGAAACTTTGTTTTCTTCAAAATACTGTAATTTGATGAAAACCATGCACACAAGAAAAAAAGTTTGAAATTAAATTTGACAAAGAATTTAATCATAGTTTTTAGACTTCTGACAAAAATGATAATTTAAATTAGGATTTGGCTAAAAAATTTCAAATATAAATATAAACAATTGCTTTGCAAAAACCTTACAAATAATAGTTTGAAAAAATAAAATTTGGATTTTTTATAATAAAAAATGTTCATCCAGAAGAGCTGGAGGAAGTGTCAGGGGAGAGGGAAGTCTGGGTGTCCCTGCTCAGACTGTTGCCCCCGCGACCCGGCCCGGATAAGCGGTTGATGATGGATGGATGGGTGGATGTTCATCATAATTTTCACCTGCCTACTGAAAATGATTTAAAATTAGGATTCCCCCGCCCCTCAAAAAAAAAAAAAAAAAAAAAAAAAAAAAAAAAAAATTCTAAAAAGAAATTCTATCGCCAACAATTTTTCCAATAAGAAATAACAGGAACAAAATGAATCCGTTCCTGCTGCTTACTGGTTCTAATAACAATGGAAAAAATATGTTTTTAATTGCTATAGAGATATGGTATATAAATATATAACTATATATATAGCTATATATAGTATATAAGGATTCCTGTGATATAAAATGTGGTTTTAATTATAAGTTCTTACCTTCGAGACAGACGATCCAGTAGCGGCTAATGGCAACATGTGCAGAGGAGGAGGAGGGAGGGAGGAAGTGAGGGAAGAGAGTTGGCCCGTACATAGACACTTGATTCCGTACCGTACCTAACACGTACACTACGTAACACTACGTAAGTTTTATTTATTTTTTTTTACTTACTAACTCATATTTTTTTACTCACTACGATCCTTAACATTCACTCTCTTAGGACTCATCACTATTATGAAAAAATAATGCACAAAATAGAGAGAAAGTCACGTAAGCGATGCTTACTAGGCGGTGGTGGCCTAGTGGTAAAGGAAGCGGACTTCGGTCCGGAAGGCCCCAGGTTCGAATCCACCAACTGCCAGGTTGCCAGGTTACATCTCAGGTTGCCACTGAGATGCACTGAGCATGGCATCGTCCTCAAGGCATGGCATCGTCCTCACTGCTCCCCGGGCGCCGACCATGGCTGCCCACTGTTCACTTGGTGATGGGTTAAATGCAGAGGTTAAATTTCGTGTGCTGTGCTGTACTGTGTCACAATGACAAATGACAAATGACAAATAAAGATAAGTTTAGTTTACGAATGTCGCCGAACAAGTGAAGTGAACTAGTGAGGCAATGTGGGCTGCTCCAAGTACTCAGCCCACAGTACTCAGCTGACCTAGCGTCAGCGTCTGTGATTGTGCTCGTATCTCAAATCTTTACATATCCAGAAATGATGGTTTTTGAGTTTTTAGGACAAAACATTCACTTGTCACCATTTTTAAGGTCTATAAACTTTGTTAGGACAAACACATGCAGGACAACAGTGTCGCAGTGACCTACATGTGAATCATCAACCGATATATTGACATGATTGTTTGCTTTTGTTATTTCTGTTCTAGTTGGGTTTTTTTTTTTAGTTATTATAAGGCATGTCAGAGACTTTATTTTTCTGTATTTTTTCGTGATAGACTATAGACTATAGTTTTGCTTGTTTTGTTGATACTTTGACATATTCAGAAAATATTTTTTTAGCACAAAATATTTACTTAGCAGCGTGTTCTGGGGCACAAACTTGCATTTTGAAGGATTTCTGGGACTTTTTAATTTTATTGCATTATTTCGCGATAGTAAAAATGCAAAAATGTTTGTTTTTGGTGATATTTTGACATGTTCAGATATGATGGTTTTTCAAGTTTTTTAGCACAAAATATTCACTTCGCAGGATGTTGTAGGGCATTTTGAGACATTTCTGGGACTTATTTTTATGCATTTTTTACAATAGTAAGACTATAGTATTGTATGTTTTTGGTTGTAGTAATTAAAGTGTAAAGTGATATCAAAAATGCTGTAATTTAATCAGGAACAGGAAAACAAGATAATATTTTGAATTTTTTTTCCAAAAATCTTTCACCATTTTACAAAAAATGACATGCTGAATTAGGATTTTGCCCAAAAAATTAAAAATTTTTTGCAAATACAAAACATTTCTTGAAATGATCTAATTTCATTAGAAATAATCAGAGAAAATAAAATATGAAAAAAAAAATCTACAAAAATATTCATCACTTTTTTTCAAAATTTGACCAACCCTAGAGCCCAGATACTGTAACTCAGTCGGTACAGCATCAGACGTTTAATCTGCAGGTCCAGGGTTCAAGTCCCTGTTTCAGCGATTGTTTTATAAAGATTTCACTGCTCTATTCTAACGTTTAGTAATTATGGGGCATTGTCTTTCAACATCTGACCAGAATGACACGCTAGGTTATTGTTTTGCCAAAAAAGTTAGAATCTTTTTTTCTAAAAAAATTCACAAAATGCTGCTTTATGGGAAACAAGCAAGACTATATTCTTGTTTGTTTTTGGTGATATTTTGACATATTCATAATAGATGATTTTTTTGAGTTTTTAGCACAACATATTCATTTGGCAGCATGTTTAGGGGCATATACTTGCATTTTAAAGCATTTCTGAGACTTTTTATTTCTTTGCATTTTTCAAAATTTCAAGTATTTTAAGGCAAATTAGTGCAGTGTTAGTCATTTTTGGGAAACTTTTGAAGACTTTATCAGGAACTTATTAGTACAGTATTTTATTGTGATCCAAATTTGCATTGAGTGGCAATTTGGCCCAGAGACAAGGTCTCTGTCATTGGTGTGGAACCCCAGGGTTCACGTCCTGGACAAGTTCAAATCCTGGTTAGGGCAGTTTGTACCTTCCAGTGGATTCACCACCCGCAGGAAGGTTCAGCGGGGTTGGTATGGTGCAATGTGATTTGGGCAGTGACTGCTTTTTCTGAATTCTAACAACACAAATGGGCAGAGCTAAGTATTTTAAGGCAAATGAGTGACTTTATAGTCTTTTTTGGGAAACTTGTTTTTGAAGACGTTTTCAGGAACTAATAAGTATAGTATTTTACTATGATCAAAAGTTGGCATACAAGAGTGTATATTTTTTCTGAATTCTAACATGTCGTGGAAATTTTTTTATATGATTTGAAGAAATCAAGAGTCAACAGAAATTGCCTTTAATGGATTTAATGTAAGTATCTTGATCAAGAGAGCCGAACCTAACTCTGTCTAATACAGCTGTTAGAGACTATTGACTTCCTGTTAGGCGAACTCTCTTTTATGTTTTTACATGGTTACATGATACAGTTTTTTTGTTTCGGTTTGAACATAGAATACAGAATATAGGTTTTAGACTTCAAGGCCTCAGCTAGATGAAGAAGTCCTTCCATATGGTTATAAAAACAGTCATTATCACCATTGTCCAAACCTGGTGAGAAGGACAAGTACATCATGTATGGGTTCATTCACAGTTTCCAGTGTAACAAACAAGTGCATTATACATTCTTACACGTACGGGCGAGCCTGCAGGTGCAGCTGAGTGAGAAAAACAACTGTCTCAGGGTCAGTTGTAGCACAAGAAGTTCTTTTGCACATAATCAATTTCTATTCAGGGTGAACACAAAATATTTTCAAACACAAACAACACAAACGGACAGAGCTAAATATTTTAAGAAAAATTAGTGCATTTTTAGTCATTTTTGGGAAACTTTTATTTCTGAAGACTTTTTCAAGAACTTATTAGTATAGTATTGTAGTATTGGGTTGTTGTGATCCTCATCAGAAAGGTCTTGGTCACCTTCCTCTTTGTTGTGGGAAACTGAGGTAAATCTTTTGGGTATTGTTCATAAGAGTGCTTTGTATGTGGTTGTGTCTAAACCCACCTCCTCTGTTGAGTGATGTTTTTTTCAGGTTGACAAAAATGGCTTCTTTTTTATTAGTATAGTATTTTACTATTATCCAATGTTGGCGTACCAAAAAGTATATTTTTTCAGAATTTTAACCGTAAAAACATGGACATTGCTAGTCCTGAGTATTTTAAGGCAAATGACTGCATTTTAATCATTTTTGGGAAACTATTATTTTTTGAAGACTTTTTCAGGAACTTACTAGTATAGTCATTTTTTAACATTGCACTAAAAGATTTGAGTGCCCCTTAATCCTCTCGTTGTCCTTCGCTGTTTGTACACACCCAGCATCCTTGTTGGCGCACACACACAGTCACACACAACGGCACAAAAGCCTTCAATCTCACAATTCCACAAGATATGTGTTTATAGCTGTTGTTAAAAGAATGACTGGTTAATTGTGCAGTTAGGAAGTGCAATGTCAGCCCTATTTCTTTGCTGGAAATTTAATCTGCACTAGTTTTAATACATAAATATTGATTTTAAAAGCATACATGATCAGTTTGAATGTGTTATTACTCTATGTTAAAGAAGACTGGAGAAGACAGAGCGCCAGGACTTTGGACTTGACTTGAGACTTGTCAGTTTTGACCTGGGACTTGACTCAAGAATTGAGGACAAAGATTTGA